GGAGGTGGTGGGGGCGGTGGGGGCCTCGCCCGCCTCGCTCATGCTGCCTCCTTGGGCACCTTGATGGCAGTTAGTCTGCGGTTAGCACGGCTGGTGGTCGCGGCGGCCCCAGTCACTCTCGGGGAGGCCGATGGCGATCTCAAGCCACAGGCGGCCACAGGCCGGGTTGGGTCTCGTGGCCGAGGTGGCTGGAGCTCTCCCGCCGCCATTCCTAGATAACAGTGTGATTTTATATGATGAGGAGGAAGAGTTAAGTCTTACTGAAAAGCTGACGTTTGAGCCTGGTCCCAGTTGATGATGATGAGTGCTCTCTGTACAATGACAATTCCAAGCCATGCAAAGGCCCAGAGGCAAGAAAGAGCTACCTACCATTGAAGAGCAAGTACGTGTTCCCAGCATGGAGAGCAGGAAGGAAAGGGTTAGGAAGCGAGGGCCAAGCAGGCATACAGGGGCCAAATAATACAGAGCCTTTAAGCCATGTCCAAGGGTTTGGATTTTAGTCTAAAATTATTAGGAAGTATACAAGTGATAGGATCTGATTCACATTTTTATTGTTTATGCTGTAGAGAATGGATTAAAGGGAGAAGGGCAGAAATGGAAGTAGGCAATTGCAGTAGTCCAGGTGAGTGTTGATGGTCACCTTGAGTGAGTGAGTGATTAACTTGTGGTGACAAGGCCAGAAAATTGTAAAGCCAATAAAATCCAAGCACCTTCTGACTTGTCTGCTCTGGCACAAAAATCTCAAGATTCTATGATTCTACAAACTTATTTGTATTGTTTCATGAGAATGTTTGAAAAGCTTTTTCATCTCTATCTCCCTTAGTTATTTAGGATTGTCAGCTCTTTCAGGACAAGATGTCGTATTTTAAATTTCTTACAGCATAGACTCAAACCCTGTGCAAATGTTAATGTCACTGAAAGCAAGAGTACATTCCCTCCAACATTCTCTCTAGACAACCTTTTCGTGTAGCAACAGGTAGCAGTACATATAAATGTCAGTCATAGTGTCTTTATCTTGGATTCTATTTTATTTTGTTTCGTAATTGCACATGAAACTGTTCCTTTCCAAGGTACTATAATCTTGACAGCAATAAAGTGATGTTGGCTGCAATTCTTTTGATCTGAGTCTGCTCTTGATAATGCATAAATCATTATGATAACCAATGCTAAATAATGGATTCTGCCTTGAATGGAATGGGAGCAGCTNATTCTTTTGATCTGAGTCTGCTCTTGATAATGCATAAATCATTATAACCAATGCTAAATAATGGATTCTGCCTTGAATGGAATGGGAGCAGCTCAGGGCAAGGCTAGTACAACCTTGTGCAGGTAGAGATGTTGACTACGAACTTAAAATATCAGGGGCTGGACTGAGATTTCAGACTCGGCACCTTTAATTCGTAATGTCATTCTTCGGCCATAAATAAATAGTCCTTGTAAACCCTTTCTAGTTAGCTATGATCGTGCCTAACTTTACATAGTAGGTAAAATAGTTTATTTTTTATACAAATCATTTTGGGGGTGGAAGTGAGAGAATTAGTGAAGTTGGAAAAGGAAAAAAATTTTGATAGTCACACAGTATTTTCTTATCTGATTATTGGTGTTCAGACTTTATGAAGACTTGAAGGATTATAAAGATGTGTTATGTTTAAATTTTGGTCTCTAATTTTTTGGCATTTTTAATGGATAATATAAATTAAGGAAATTGCAACTTAAATCTTAGTATGTTAGTCACTGAGCTTATTTCGTAACTGTCTGTCTGTCTAATAAAGTTGCTGGGTCCATTTGGCAATGTGAAATACCTAACAGTTAATCTAGCATTACAAGCAGCTGCTTATTTGGTAGCTATATATTACAAGATTTTCCTTGTACCTGAAAGAGGAAGACTAATGCATTTGAATGAATGGTAAGAACAGTGAATTCTAGTTTGCTTGAGACTAGGCTGAATAATTGCTGTTTTCCAGTTAGATTAGTTCATACTAATGACGTGAGGTTGCCTCGGCCAGTCTGGGTGTCCTAGCTTCTTATCCCTGGCACCCTCCTTTAAGCCACATGCTTCAGGGGCTACTCCGTTGAGAAGGTTTTAGATAAGTTTATATGATTGATAGATAAGATAAAATGAAAACAGAAGTCATTCATCAGTAAAAGGCATTTATTTTTTTTCCAAGTAACATTTATCAAGATCCGGGTGAGGTTCCTGGGTCTGTTACCTGTGTAGTTGCGCAAGGCCCTACTTTTAAAAGGGCCCTGAGCTTAGTTGGGCCCTGTACTTGGTTTAATACTCTGCTGTTGCGATCTTGACTTCTTTTTTTTTTAACAGGGGCTTGCATTTTCATGTTGTGCTGACCCCAATATACATGTTATATCCCA